GCAAGTGTTTGTTTTGCAAGTGTTTGTTTTGCAAGTGTTTGTTTTGTGTGCCGCTCCCCGGGAGTTTACTGAAGCTGATTTTCATTTGTTTAAACACACAAAGCAACAACTTATCTGTACAATAAATACAACTAGGTAACTGGTAAACTGACCTTGGGACTTGAGAATGAGGAGAGTCGGCTTTTGAGGCTCCCAGGCTCCATTTGCAGCGGCTGGGAAGGTCGGGTCGGATCCACTTCCTCTCAGCGGTGACGTTCTTTGTGTTGATCTGAATGGTTCTGTTGGACTCTTCAGCGTCCTCCATCGCGGGCAGCTTGTCAACCCCGTTCGCTGGGAACGAACCCTCCCGCAGTTTGGATTCTCCGTTGGTGTGGTTGAGCAGTTTGGCAGCATGAGGGCACACTGGACTCTTCACAGGGCTCTCTTTGGAGGAAGGGACCGACGGCATGGCTCACCCTGGAAAACAAGAAGAAAAGGCTCTTTAATAAAACATTTAAACATTTTTAAGAATGTCACCGGTTCTGTTTTTCTAGTTTGTCTCTTTCCGCTTTCACCTGTTTTCAGCAAAACGGTTATGCGACTCAAAAAGTAAACATTTTATACCTTTAATACTTCTTTCCTTCTGTAGAAACATTCAGAAAACATCTGTTTCTATTGTTAATAAACTTAAGAACTTCAGGTAAAAGTTCACACTGACTTTATTTATAACCGCACTGATACATTACCACATTCAAAACGGACGCAGTGAGCAAACAGTGAGCCGGCCGCTCCTTTCTATTCTTTCATTAATGCTGAGTCACATCCGTACTGAGAAATAAAGCCTCCTCGTGCTACGTCGCTCTTCCTTACACATAATCAGTAATAAGCATTTTAACACAGTCAGGATGAGCAAATATAAATTAACAAATTAATTCTGCTTTCAAAAGTGAAGAGTGTGTTAAAGGCCCGGACGACTGGCTGATCAAACTCTTGCTCATATTGCATCAGTCGGTCAGTGCAGAGAGAAAAACACACAGTAAGAAATTAACTGCTGAGTCATGATTTAAAAGAAAAACAGAGCTTCAGACTATCTTTGTGTTTGTGAACCTAAAACGACTCAATTATTGCTCGTTACAAGTTATAAAACGCTGTAAAAGTCACAAATGTGTAACTAAATGTTAAACATTGTAATAAACTGGAGCTCAGTACTGCAGGATGTTAAATATTAGCAGTCGGAGTGGAAGAGGAACTATAAAATAAGGTTTTTGACTCTCCGTTCTTACGTTCTAGTGATTAATAGCTTATAAAAAACTTGTTCCAGCTTCTTGGATGTGAGGATTTGCCTTTTCTCTCTTTATATATTAGATACGAGGCTACTCCACAGAGCTGTGAGCCTCTTGTTCATCCTATTATCAGGTTGCTCCACTGGGACTGGCTGCACACGAACCTTCACTAACACACACACACACACACACAGAGACACAGAGACACACACACACACACACACACACACACACACACACACACACACTAGGGCTGTT